TTTCTGTGTTATTCCGTCGATTCCTCTGAGGTGAATGCGAAGGTTAACTTTCTTAATGATGGTATTAATAAACACATGTATCCAAAGCGCTACTTGAGAATTCTTTGAAGAAACCATGTTTATCCAAATTCCGAATCTCTTAAACGCCATATATTATCAGTTCTATTCTTACACGCATCTCGCAATTAAACATTCCACAAAGATCTCCCGTCTTATATAAGTTGTCACCTAATGAACACTATCTTTTCACCCAATATGTCACCACAATTATTGACAAACGTACGACAAAATATCGGATCTCACTGAAAGTTTAAAATCACAGAAACACAACATAAATTCCCGATCAATTCTGAGAGATGTGTTTAATCGTTCTTCAGTATCCTTAACAAATGTACATCTGGAAGCTCTATCTTAGGGGACAAAATTCTGAGACATAAATGAAAAATCTAACAAAATTCACACAATGTTTAGTTTAAAAATTTAATCAAGCAGACATTCAATGACGTAATTCATAGGCAAAAGGATGGTATAGCAAGGGGATACTCTCTTGTTCCATTACTAGTAGATTGCTTCATGGCCGGTCTAGAAAACAACTAACTTAAGACGACCAAGGACAACTTTTACTTGTATAAAATGTACTTGGATGGTATTTTTATCATTTTTGACAACAAATATGATTTGAATTATCTTCTAAAAACACTTAATAACTACCATCCAGCAATAAGTTTCCCACTTGGAGTTGAAAACAAACAAAGTATTCACTTTCTTGATGTCGAAATGACAAGAAAACACGAAGAAACTCTGAGAAGATCAATCTACAGGAAATTCTTGTAGAGTGGCCAGCTATCTAGGTTCCATTAGTCAACAGCGAAACTCATTCATATCACTCGCTAGGCGATTTCGAAGAATTTATGGTCCCGACGTCATGGATAACGAACTGAGCCTCTTGAAGAAAATACTTATCGAAAACGAATATCCTTCGGCACTTATTGAAAAGAACATAAAACCCGGACCGCCTAAAGTACAAATAACCTCTGTTGAAAGGAAAACACTCTACGTGATCATCAATTTCCGGGGTGATAGAGTAACAGACGTCCTAGAGACGAGAATGTCTGATTCTCTAAAAAGAACATTCTTCGCTGCAACTTTGTGAATAGTGTTCTCAAGCCGATCCATGTTCAGTTATAACCTTAAGGATAAATTATCTGATTTGACCAATTCTAGGTGCACATATCAATTTGCTCATTCATGTGGAGCCAGGTATATATATCGTCGGAGCCGTACTTTATCCAAATGAATGCAAAAACATTACTCGACTTGGCTTAAGAGGCTGAAACGGCTCAATAATCGAACTTGTTGTTGTATCCCGATGAGAATAATGAATGGTAAATGTTGGAATCTATTTCTCGAATAATACTATACGTATTTTTTTATCGTACAATTGTTAAGTAACTAAACTATTCATATTCGTATTCCCCTTATTATAAGCTTCATTTCGACCTATGAACTATAATTACACGACTTACCATTCATGAATTATGCCCAGTCCATCAATTACTTTCTCCTACATTCACAAGCACTTTCGGCTTAAACTTGTACAAAGGTTATTTTCTATTTTATGTGGTCTGTTTCGGTTGCATATAAGACCAGTATGTCTGAAATGCATGATTCATTACGTAGAGGCTGAGGTTGGTGTTCTGAGCTTAACAGGGATGGCTAGAAGGGAGGCAGGACCGGTAAAGACTAGACTGCTCGCACGGGTTTTTTGATTTATTGATCAGGTCGATAAATCAATGTTCTCTACAAGTTATAACACTTGTGAACACAAGTCACTCAATCAAAGCGGACTCAACGTTCAGAGTCATCCACAAGTTAAGTAGATGGCTACCAAAGGCAGTTATACTCCATCTTCTTAACACTGATGAGGAACTCTCTATACATCTGGAAACACCAGGATTGTTTCCAAAAGAAACCGGTACAACTTCTCTTTCTACCATGGTCTTTGTCTCATAATTTTCTTCCTTCACAGCCAACTGCTTTCCCTTCCATCTTCTCTATAAACCTTTTACTCCTAAATGGTTTATTTCTATTTTTATGATCCTCCTGATTACATCTCATCACAATTTCAACATTTTATCTCATCAAATAACGTTTTAATACCCTTATTATATCTCACTGTTACCATGTTTAACGGAATTTTATTATCGCCATTACTGTAATTATTATCTTGAGAAATAAGTATGGGTTTTTTAAATGTTAAAGAAAGCAACCCCTATGAATTGTAATATTAAATACAATTGTGCATTTAAAAGTAGATTTAAAGGGAATAAAGTAATCAAAATTTCTGAACATGTTATTCATTTTGAAAAGAAGAGAGGAATTTGTTTCTCAGCTTTTGATACTAATAAACATCACTGGAACCTATTCGTTAACAATGACAGAGAGAAATGTTTACAAACTTGTAGTATTTGAACTGGTGCCTCCTTTGTACTTGATTGCGCGATTATTACGAATTCCAAATAAAATACGTTTAGTTCTACCCACCTTAAATTGCACTATTTCAGATATTCTTAGTTAGCCCATTAATTCGAATATTTCTAATTACCATAACACTACTAATACACCAATATTTAGGCACGAATACGAAAAATGATTCTTCATTTTGAACTACCTATATTTGACTGATATCTAAAGTAGCATAATCCTTTAGTTCATTTTTTACTAATCAAGATTAGTCGAACTGTTCAGAGTAGTTGATGAGATGTCAAGTCCAAATGTACATTTACGAACTGATCTCTTGTTATCATGTTTTACATTCAAAGAGCTTCAAAAACGGATTTTTATAATGGCTCCATTGAAAACTACAGTAAGGATCGAAGACCTAATACAAAGATGCTATGGACTGTTAAAAACAGATGACATTGTAGTCTTTAGAAGATTTCAATCTTTTTATTGAAACCCGTAAATTGTTAACAATGGTAATCAAATACTAATCATGTCATTTAGCAAATTATCTTGTTACTTGATGACAGCTTTCCCTTAAATTATAAATTGCGATCTTGATTATCTAAATTCTAAAGAAATCCTGTTACTGTAGATAGTATACTATAGACCTGCTAGCTATATTTGTGAGAAATATGCACATTTCGTGTTTAATTTCGAAACTCTTCAAATATAAGTTACTTTACTTTATATTACTCAAATAATTCACCATCTATGACTGACAGATAAATCAATAGCTGAATAAAATTACGACTTTGTGTTCCATTACATCAAAAAAAATTGTTGTAGGTTCACAGAAACTGATTCTACATTTGTGCGAATGCACTTTAACCATTTGCAGTGATGTTATATCTTATCTAGAGGTTTTCAATTACCTTTTATCGATTGTTTGAAAAGTTCTTGAGCTTAACAAAGCAAGAGAGAAGTATAAATATCTTGTTGGTTATAATAAATATTTGAAAATGCTATAGTAGATAATCAGAGTATAAGAATTGTTCACATAAACCGATGAAGAATATCAGATTTCATAAAACCAAGCCAAACAATATAACCAGTGAATATAAATAACCGTAGAGTGCTGAAATAAACTGAAACAGATAACTGATACATTCTGGTTGTATATTGTATTTTAGTGATCATCAGAGACTTTGAAGAGTTAAACACCTAAGTTATAAATGACATGAATGAATCTATTCTGATATTCATATTGCATTTGAAAGTGATATTTATTACGTTTGATTAAACTAGAATTGATCAATTTTTTTTTCTGACAAACACCTTCACCATTTTTATCAGACATTAAAAGGAATCTCTGAAAGTATACACATCGAAAATTATTTTAATTTCATTTATTATTTCTGAATTACAGATTAAGTACATTTTTTAAAATTAAATTTACATGTTTATTTGATTTATGTAATCTTAATTGAAATCATAAACAAGGATTTACAATTACAAACTTAAATTATGCCCTTCTTAGAAACAACATTTAGTTACATTAGTCCACTATAAAAAAAAAGATGATTTACATAAATTCTAATCAAAATATACATTGAACTATCGACTTTCAGATTTATTTCGAAGTAACATTTCAAGTACAGCTCTACTACTGAACTAATAATGACGCAATATTTTAAGTAAATCAGCATCAAATCAAGTTCGATTAATTGTGAAATAATTTTTAATGAATTATCAAAATTATTAGTTAAAATTTATTGAGATTTATTAGTTATTGTAGCCAGCATAAATTTTGTTAAAGGTTCACATTTTATACGATAGGACTTTTTTTCTCTCTTAAAATGAGTATATATATAATTTTTTCCGGCTTGACAAAAAATCTTAGTGTTTAAAGTCAATAGAGTAAAACCATTCAACAATTATTTATGTTCATTTATTTAAATACATAAACATTGGTTCAAGGAGGCACCAAATATATATACGCCTCACTTTGTCATTTGATATTTGTGAGGGCTAGAATACTATCCGGGCGCCCAAACCGAAGCACATGGTTTTCTTAGAGGGCTTTTGACCTAAAGGTCTAGTCCATAAGGTAGTGGAGCAACATAAGGAGATGCAGTCACATGATAGCCAGTGATTAACAATAGGTTTATACGCCAACTGTCCCATCAGGATGCTGAAGCCCATGTACACCATTGGTTTTGAATCAGGGTTTTCCTACTCACTAGTTTCTCGCGGTGGGGGCGTTGTTTACGAAACTGAAAGGACGAAAAGCGAATGTCCGGAGCTTTAACCGGGTTGCCCATTTACACAAATATTTATGCGTTCAAAAAAATATATGTAAATAAATACGGTTTTCCAACTCCTCTAAGTGGATCCCCTGCGTCCATCAAACCGGTGCTGGACATTCGCTTTACGTCCTCTCGATTTCGTAAACACACTCCTGTCGCGAGAAGACATGAGTAGGACTTCTGTAACAGTGGTTATATACGCGTGGCCATGTGAGAGCATTTCCAGAGGGAGAGAGGACTCTCCCCACCCTCGACTATACCAAAGTTGATGTATTGAATTTCAAAACAACACACAATAAACTTCACTCAATGATCAGTTTCACTGAAAATAAAGATTATGGTTGAGCAAATGATCTTACAGTAAAATGGTCTATAGGGACATGCTTTACACATTTCAATAATGAAGTACAACATCAGAAAAGAATTATTTTGTCACATAACATTTATTTTGTGAAGTAACTTCATCTGACCATACTAAGTCGAATTTACAAATAACTGTTAATCATTAATGAAAAATATATTTACGAAGTGTAATTTCTAAGATAATTGATGGTTCAAGAACAAATTAGCCATTAGTTATTTATATGAAATTTGGCAGTGTAAAAAATCTATGTCTTTTCTCTTTTCAGTACCAAAACATCACCAAAGACTCAGTATTCCGTATTGGAACAAGATTTTTGAGAATTTGGATCATAGGAAGGTACCTTCAGAAGAAAATGAAGAAGAGATGTAACAGATATTTATATAACCCCACCAATGCCCAATACAGTTTCCTTCACGTTGATTAGAAGGAAGAGATCAAGGCTTCAGTGGGGAATTAACCTCAGCAACCGCTCACTGTGGGTGACACGCCAGACTTTTTAGTTACATGTAACGTTGTAAATGTCTGGAAGAAAAAATACAAAAATTTGTGTGTAAAATAGAATATTTATGTTAAGATATAAACAGCAAAACAAAAACAGATTTCCAAAGACATTAAACTTTTTTTGTGCGCCTGATTTATACTATGAAAACCCAATCTTAGGCCTTATCTTGAAAACGGTTCAATGCAAATAAAAAAACAATATTCACAAACCTCAGAACAAGTTGGGTGAATTCCAATTGTACGATCGAAATCTGCTTTAGTTGCACCCATTTTAATTGCAACTGCATATCCCTGTGTTATCTCCCCAGCATTAGGACCCAAAACATGCAGACCCAGTACACGCATGTGCTACAAAACGAAATAAATGAGAAAAATGGTGAACTATTAAAAATGTGCTGTTTATCTTAGAAAGTTCAGGTTCGCTTCCCATTTGCATTTCATTATCAAATGATGCTCCATAATTGAAGAAAACGTTTAATAAAAATAAAAAATTACACCAGTTAAAAAGTGCACATAATAGTAAATACACAGAATATGATGAAATTTAAGTGATCATCAAAAAATATAGTAATGGTCTCATATTTTTTCAAGTATGGTGCATAAAGGTAGTTGTGCTTAACAGCCCATTTAAACTTAAACTTTAATGAACTTATACATTATCCAGTACTTATTGATAAATTAACTATATATGAGTTGGTCAATTCATATTTATTTATTACTAAGTCATTTACCAGACAAGGATTTGTGTACTTAGGTTTAAGCTGAACTCTATAAGTGGTGGGGAGGCTGATGATAATATTTTCTATTCAGGAAAATCTGGGAGGAAGAACAAGTACCGATGGACTGAAAGGAAGGAGATCTCATCAAGAAATCAAAGAAAGGAGATCTAAACAAGGATGAGAACTACAGAGGAATCACACTACTGTCAGTAATAGGAAAAGTCTTCAATAGAGTGTTGCTGAACAGGATGAAATATTCAGTAGACACACAACTTCGAGATCAACAGGGTGAATTACGTAATTATCGGTCGTGCACTGACCGAATCACGACACTACTGACCATTGTTGAACAATTAGTTGAGTGGAACTCGTCACTATACATTAACTACATCGACTATGAGAAGGCATTTGACAGTGTGGATAAGCGAACCCTCTTCGACACGATGGAGCACCTGAGAACATCGTCAACACTATCCGGAATTTATACGACGGACTACAGTGAGAAGTGGTGCATGGAGGACAGCTGATGGATGCATTCCAAGTGAAGACTGGAGTCAGACAATGCTATCTACTCTCACCCTTCCTCTTTATTCTGGTGGTCCACTGGATTGTGAAGACCTCGATATCTGAGGAAAGGCATGGAATACAATGGACAACTTGCATGCAACTAGACGATTTGGACTTCACAGATGACCTGGCACCTGGCCTTTCTATCCCATTCACACCAACAAATGCAGATGGAGACAGCCAGTGTAGCAGAAGTCTCTGCATCAACGGGCCTCAACATACACAAAGGAAAAAACAAGATCCTCAAATACAATATGGAGGACACTAACCCGATCACACCTGATGGAGAAACTCTGGAACAGGTGGAATCTTTCACATACCTCGTCAGCATCATCGATGAACAAGGACGATCTGATGCAGACGTAAAGGAGAGGATTAGCAAAGCAAGAACTGCATTCCTACAATTCAAGTATATGTGGAACTCAAAACAACTGTCAACCAATATCAAGGTCACAATCTTCAATACGAACGTCAAGACAGTCAGTTTTATTGTACGGAGCGGAATTCGGAGAACTACTACAACCATCACCAAACATCTACAAGTATTTATGAACAATTGTCTACACAAGATACTCAATGTTCGTTGGACGATTACCATCAACAACAGTATAATGTGAGAGAGGACAAAGCAACATCCAGTTGAGGAGGAAATTAGGAAAACACATGGGAAGTGGATAGGACGTACATTGTGCAAATCATCAAACTGCAACATGAAGCAAGCGCTAACTTAGAATCCTGAAGGGAAACGAAAAAGAGGAAGGTCAGAGAACACCTTGCTTCGGGAATTGGAAGCAGATATGAAAAGGATGAACAGCAATTAGAAAGGACTGTTCAGGACAGAGTTGGATGGAGAATGTTGGTGAGCGGCCTATGCCATTATACGACGAGGGGCAACAGAAGTAAGTAATTCAGTACAAGTGTCGTTTGTAAAAATCAGTGATAAGCTAGTTTACTGTTTTTAAAATTACGAAATGATGCTTTCACTAAATTTATTTGACACACCCTCACAAATAATAAGTGCCGAAATGCATTATAATCCCAGTTAAAACAAAGAACTAACAGTTGGATAGCTTTTTTATGAAGTATAATAAGCTCAAAGGGATTTAGTGTGGTCAAAGGTAACCTTGTATATGAACTTACATCAGATTTACGACAAACAAGTTTCATGTAACAAACGTTATCTTCACGATGAGCGACAGTCCATTCCAAAGGTTTAAAATTTGAATGATACACCTAAAAAGGTAGAAACGATCACAGTGAAACAGAATAACATTAGTTACATCTAATAATGAAACTTACTGTCAAATGTGGAACGTTCTAAAAAAAACTGTTTTGATAAATAATTATTTAAATATTCGCATTTAGATACTATAAATGTAACTAGAGTAAGAAATATTTTCGTATGCTGAGACTTAAGTTTTAGTTACGAATATAATAATGTATCCAGAAAAATATTTGCAACTGATTATTGCTACTGTTCGGTGGAAATGAAAAAAGCTGGAAGTTTACACTAATAAGAAATAGATATTGGAAGGTTTCATGCACCAAACCCAGAAACAACTAATCAGTGATTACAGTGGTGTGAACAAACACTGTTCGACTGCATGACTACCGAAAAGCAAGTACAAATAAAAATTTTGTTGAAACACTGTACAAATTAACTTTCTCATCAGGATTGTGGCATTATATGGTGAACACTCGATAGACGAATTCGTTGTAGTAAGGCTAGATATCTCTCAACAATGACAGCTTTGTATTGAATAAATGATTTATTATAACAGCTTGATAAAAATATTAATTTAACATTGCTAGCTGAACTTGAGGTGTGCAGTCATTAATTTTATACACGTTACATTTGTATTGGCCAATGAAAATAAGGATCATGAATGACACCAATCATGCCACCGGTAAACTAGGTTGATTTAATGATTTAATCATCTAGTATGGCGATTATTTGATTTATACATAAATTGGTTTCTTCTAGTGCGTAAATATTCACCGTAGTGATCTTTTTGTCAGATTTATTCATATGATTTTCGTTTGTTCCAATGTCACAATGTGTTAAGATCTTTTAACATGATACCTATAATCAATTATTAAAACAAAATGATGGTGGCCAACGGGGAAGATATTTATTGAACGAATGTGATTTGTTAATGTATTTCAGTGCTGTGAGCTGTTACTGTATTTGACCGAATTCAATGAGACTAACATTATAAAAGGTTTATTTCAATGTCAGCATTTTGAGAACAATCATTTTCTGGTTTCGATAAAATTTATATATTGTGGCCAGTAATGGATTTTCCATTAAGAAAAAGAGGCAATAAAATATTTCCAGACATACCTCAATATCCTTATCACCATATTTTTCAATTGCATCTTCTTCACTCAATCCACAAGCCCCATATTCAAGTGGAGTGAAAACAGTTGTAGCAACATTGGAATAGTCAGTCTAAATGAGAATATATACAAACAGAAACAATTATGAAAAATATATAGATGTAAAAAACTATATAGTCTGGTGCTGATAAATGAAACAAAACAGTCTGCTAATCAAAGGTCTTATATTTTCTTTTGTTTGATCATGAAGATGGGATATTTGTTTATTATCTATATAGCAACATGTGGTTGAAAGTCAAGAATATGAACGTAGATAAAGTTAGTGATATTCAATCAGTTATTCACTTAAGATCATTTATTTACTGCGAAGTACGGAAGTTTTATGCCTTCCGGATGGTCAAACTTAGCTGGGTTATATATTGCTTTAACAGAAAACGAATGTACGGTGAGCAATAAATAGAAACTTGAATTAAAATGAATGGATAAAACGAAGTTTGAAGAATTGTGAGTTTTATAGTTTAAACTTACTAGTTCAGTTGCACCAGCAAACAAACGTTTAGCCAAGTAGCGCCCAGCTTGAATAGCCACGGGAGTTAATTGTGGTTTTCCAGCATTGATATCTCCGATGGCATAAACATTACTGACTGTAGTTTGTTCATCATCTGTGCATACAACTCGACCATTCCTGAATGATTATACATTTCAATTATGAAAAATCAAACAAAATGAAGGTACTACAATAAACCGGTCTTGAAACTAGTATAGAATTAACTATATACTGAACATGTACCCCAGTAACAAACGAAACTAGACAAACAATTCAATTATTACAACCAACTCTCAAATAAACACCAATGAGAAAGCCTAACTGCCATCATGTTCAAATTGGCATAATAACATAGAATCTCATAGGAACATCGATAGTCTCAGTTTGCTATACTTACAAACAACAGAGAGAGAGAGATAGCAATGAAAATAAATAAGGATATAAGTCAAACAAATAAAAAGTGATGATACATTCAAAAGTTGGGAAACAAGCATCTACAAAAATGACCAATTTTAAGATATTTTACGTAGGATATTCAACTGGAGAAAGAAAAGAGAAATGTGAAATTTGCATAGGTTCTCTTCGATGCATTTAGTTTTAATAGTAAACTTTTTTTGACTTCTTCACCCTTCAAATCCCTTTCTACCGTGAATTAGAGTTAATTTACTACAAATGTTACTCAGTTTCACATACAAAAAAAGATTGATTTATTTTATTTATATAATCACATGAGTCATTTACAAATACTACTAGGTAAGGATCAAACTTGTGAATCGGTTATTGTTTCGTAGTAATAAAATCTTAAGTAACCAAGTATTTAGAAATTAGATTTACATGATAATCCATGAACAGATCTATTATGGCGTTTTTTGTATTATCACCGTATTAGTTAATTAACTAACCTGTTGTAAAGCAAAAAAAGGTATATTGTTTAAAATCTAGTTATTAACCAATTAGAGTAGTATATATTTGCTCAATATGTGTTAAAAACATGAGCTACTCTAGCTTTAACGTTACACCATCATCTACCAATTTCTATAATCACTTCCTAGTGAACGGTCGTATATATTGTTTAGTCAAGGAGAATTCAGTAAGGAAAACTGGATGAGGGAAATCGAATGTACATATAGTAGTTATTTATTAACAGTATCAGTCAAATGGTAAGTTTTCCCGCTTATCAACAAGATAATTCAGTGCTAAATCAAAGACCAAACTGAATAATGATCAGATCATCATGTATGACTTGTTCTGAGATGGATACCCCAAATCTTTATTGAGACGTCCATGGCCTGTAGTAAATCAAGTCGGGGATGAGGAGTATTTACATCATGATATTAAATTATGATACTTGTATATTGTGAATCGAATGAAGTTATAGTTTGAAATGTTAAATTTTGACTTTATAGTAAAACAGAATCACACTTACAATGAAACCTAATATTTTGGAATTGGTCATGAATGAGGGATTATGAGTGTGCACCTGCAAGCATTCCCAATTCAGAATGAAACAACAATGTAGTGCTCACCAGTTTTTATTACTTCAGTAGTTGATATCAGTTTATGTTAATATGTCGAAAAACCGTATTTTTAAAAACTCAAAACATTGATTATAACCTACTTGTCTAGTTTAACACCCACGGTAGTACAAAGAACCTTCGATAATTGTGGTTCACGACCAACAGCAAAAATGACCTACAAAATAAAAATGACTGATTAGATTATTATCATCATGTTGCGTGGTTTTATCTATGCTACTAAATATGACGATATTAATAGTAATCTGCTTATGATAGATTTTCCACAATTCATTGAAATAGTGTTACACCGAGATTTAACAAAATGATTAGTTACAAAGTACATTAAATGAGTGATATATTAAAATTATTTGATGTGCCTAAAATCACAATAATGAATTCGTGTGAGCATTTTGTTAAAAAACATCATTAACTGGTTGGCTACACAAAATTACTATTCTTATCATTCATTTAATAACTTGGACCAACTGGTGTTTATGCTAATTCTCATGTATCAATCTTCCTAACTAATTTGCGAACAAGTAAAAAGATTTAAATTACAACACTTAGAAACTCGAGAACGCAATATACTCGACAGGAATTTGATTTCTAGTATGCTGACCGCAGTCTTTCTAAGCGAGGAACTATTGAGGAAACAGCTTAAGATGTTTGATTCTCGGTTTTGAACTTATTAAGGTTTAGTATGGGTATACATTCAAACAGGCTGAGGAAATCAGGCAAAACAACAGATAGCAAACTGATCATCAAATACAGACATTAGGGCAAAACCTGGTAGAAAAGTATAGCAGTTTAAGTTGTTACAATTTGTAACAGTATAAAAAGAGAAAATTACATTCAACAAAAAAGATAATAAGGGTTGTTAAGGAAATTCTATTAAGGAAACGAAATATATGCTTGCTTCTGCTAGTTATAACGTTATCAAGAAGTCAATTTATCAGTGAACAGAACAGCATAGTAATGACCTATATGACTACGGAACACCAAATAATGCAGAATGAAATGATAAGTCTGAAAAAACTAACCATTGGTTGTACTGCAATGTGATCAAATGACGCCATTAATCTATGTAGTCACTAACAGAATTTAATTAGGAATATGTCTACGGATTCCAAGGTTGCGAATATTGAGGAATAGAAACAACAATAGATTTGACCTTATTACAACCGTTATATTTGATTTATGATCAAAATCACCTGAAACTTTGATGTATTTACATTAAAATGATTAGTTTGTTGTATAGGTGATGAGTCGAACATAAAATATTGGTATAATATAGTATTGTAAGTGGAAAAAGGTTTAGTAGTTAAGGTATTTGACTTCCGACCCCTAAATTCCGGTCTCGAACTCCGCTCCACCTAATTTAGTTTAGGAGACGAGGCAGCATCATAACTCCTTAAACCTACAATGTGGCGTATACCCAAGTACCTGGTAAATGAATCAGCATAGTATATAACATACAATTAAAAAAGTAGATAACTCAAAACTGAAGATGATGGGGATTGTTAACAACTAATCGAGCACTAACTATTTGACTGAGTGATGGATGTTAAGAAAAAGTAAAATAAAACTACGGAACTGTCAGTAATTTGATTAAATGGAATCTTAAAATTGAATGAATAAGAGTTAATTTTAATAGTTCAAATAAGATATCATAATAGACAGAGAATGGATTTGTAAATGCGTCCAGTGATTCCAATGAATCATATCTGCTCCACTTAACATTCTTCAATATAAAAAGTGAAAACAGCTGTAATAATGTGATCAAATGTTAAGTTTATGGAAGTATCAATGAATGTAACAAGTGAGTAAGTTTATCCCCATTAGCAGTTATCACCTAGCTACATCCTTATCAATTGATTAGTATTCTAATCATTTTGTCAATCAATTTGTGCTTATAACTAATCAACTGAAGTAATTAATAACCTTAGGAAGCGTAAAGAAAATGTAACACACAAGAACATACATGAGTATGTCAAACATCTTGTCAATTACTAAGAATGATCTTCCCTTTAATAAAATGATAGAATTATCGTAATATTAATGCAAAACGTTCGAGAAAGAATATGGATTTGATGTAAAAACATACCGTTTCAAATTCTTCTTCAAACTTTTTACCGTCGGTATAATGACCCTTAACAAGCAAAAGTCCAGGCTTATTATTTTCAGTATCTACTGCTTTCAATTGTTTGATCTAATGATAGAGAAAAACATGCCAATTATACTTTATAAATAAGAGTACTGCTTTGAAATTATTACCAATACATTTTTACTAGATAAATATTTAAATTATAGAAACTCATTAGAATTTTAATGGTACATTAAATTTCATACTTTTTAAATACTATTGATAACCAGGATTGCTTCTCAAAAACTAAATGAAGATAATTTAAATCAAAATGGAAAAGTATTCTAAATGAAAGAAATTAGGAAAAATGGTTGATAATAGTCTAAATTTTCTTTTAATTTATACAAAATAAGTAGAGCTACACTGATTAAACATAAACTTTCTGTCTTCTAAATAGTTTTAAGCAGTCGATATATGAATATATCTAAGCAAGGAAAGTATATTGTCAATAAAAAAACTAATAAGTTATTTTGCTTAGCCAAAATGATATGATGAACACAACTTTAGTTTGTCAGAAACAGGTGGTAACTCAGAGAGTAAATAGGATCAACAATTCTGGCAACGAGATTTATTTCAATTAATTGTATTAATACTACACTAGTGATCCTTAGACAAGCTTAACGTTAAGATTACTGGGAATAGCCCAAGACTACTGTATTCAAAATTTTAGGAGATTGCCAATATAACATTATTTTTTAATTTAAAGGTTGTGGCTTCTCTGGTTGAGTCACAAGAATGTAAGGATTCGAAATAATTTTAGGATTGAGATAAAATTTATTCAAATAACATGTCTGCTTTCTTTGATCAGTAATCAGCCCTTTTCAGTAGGGTAAAGTTTCTAATTTTATGGAGAATTATTATTATAAATACTAACATATTGTTGAGCCAGGGAATTCCTACTCACTGCCTTCTCGTGGTGGGGATGTTGCTTACGAAATTGAGAGGACGAAAAGTGAATGTCCGGCGCTTTAACCGGGCCAGTGGACACAGTGAGTCCACCTACGGGAATCGGGAAACCCTGATTCCAAACCAATAATACACATGGGCTACAGTATCCTGAGGGAACAGATGGCATCTGAACCAATTACTGGTTACTGGCTACCATAGGACTGCATCTCCTGACGTTGCCCCACTGCCTTATGGATCAGACCTTTAGGTCGAAGGCCCTGTATGTGACCACTAAAAAACCACCTGCTTCAGCCTGGGGACCCAAGCAGTACCACAGCCCACACACAAATCAAGTGACTTGTGTGATGTATATGTATTCGGTGCCCCTTTGTACCAACATTTGTGTTCAAATAAATATAATAAGAAATAGTTAAGCAGTAAAAGTCTATACATTACTAACCTCATCTGGTATACATAACTTTGCAAACTTGACTCCATGATTCTCCATGTAGTCACCAACCTTTTCAGCCATTTGTTGATCAAAACCACGAAGTAAAATGGAACGAACCATAACGGTAACATCACCGCCTAAACTAGCAAGGAAACCAGCACATTCCAGTGCAACGTAACTTGCTCCAACGACTAGTGTTTTGCCCGGGAAGTATGGCAAAGAAAATAAATCATCGCTGAAAAGGTTAAGCGATTCACAAATACATATAGTATGTTTCCCAACTCAACTTAGTAAGCAACATAATTTTGTGCGGTGCTTAGATAAAATAGGTAATTTTTATGGCTGGCATAAATATTAAATCAACTTGAATCTGGAGTAGCAGAAACGCTCACTCTGTATAAATCGGTAAGCGAACAAAAGTGAGCATCCGGCAGATATTCGTATCTATACAAATCGTACAATTTATAACAGCATAGCAAGATCGGGACCAACAGCCAGTGACTTCGTGAACTTATGTCTTGGTTTACTTTCTAGTTTTCTAACCCATTTATACTCTAGCCAACATTGCACATCCGGGTAGCTGGCTGTTGGGTATACACAGCACAAATTCCAGTTACGTCAATCAATGAAGATTTACAACCTCACCAAATGATTTCTCAACTTTATCCAACTCCAGCATTGCTCACTAAGTCTCACTATACGCGGCCTATGCTTTGGAGGTATCTACAATCAAAAGCCTGTAGCCTACAGACGTTATCGATTCCCGCAAACCGTGTTTCCCAGACGTAGAGTACTACAGAGCGGCTTGTCATGCAGTGAATTCATCCGTTGATAGGTACACAGACATCTTCCCAAGGTCACAACTAACGTATGTTCGCAAAAAACCAAGTGAGCTTTCTGAATCAGTCCTAAACACATTGTTGTGTAGGGTATTCAAACGACTAGATAATGATAGGGTGAGAACAACGATATATGGGATGTTTGAAAAATAGTCAGAATTAAGAGAACCCCTCGGCACTTAGTCTCTAAATAAGATGACTAAATTCTCAACTACGCTTCATCTTACACCAAATGAGATCAAGATTATCTCAAAAAACTTACTTATTACCCAACAAATATGAAAAGTGAACAGTAAAATCATCTAGCTATTCACTTAGCATCAAGTTTACGGCAACATAAAGCTGGGTGTTGCCGTCAAAGATTAACAAAGATAACCAAATAATACTTGAAAATATGGTTTACATTGGACAAAAATCAAGGCTATTGGTTAATTGAAACCACAAAATCACCAAACATACAACTGTTAACCAGTTTATTAGTAGTAGGTAAAATAAATGGGTAGTTCATTTAGTATACATCAGGAAACTATATGAGCAATGTACATGTGATCAAATTCAACAAACATTTGGACTAGATATGTAAAGGACCAAATGGATACATGATTATATTCAATAAAGCTAAATGCATAACAACTTATTCACGTATTATTTTCTTGTTGCGCATGGATGTATTGATAAACACATCAACATAACCAGTAAAATGATTTAAGAAAATACAACAAACCTTGTAATCCCATATTCAACCGCTCCAGGTATTTCTGGGTATTTTGGGCGTTCACCAGTAGCTAAGATAATTTTGTCTCCAGTTATTATAGATACTTTTTGGTTCTTATCTGTAATCTGTATGAAGTGAAGATTTTTAAGGAAAATTTGACATCACAATTGTTTGATTTTCATACCACGATAACAGACAATTAGTACCCGATATAAAATTAGATTTAATACAAATTTTGAAAAAAAACAGAGGGTATTCATTAGATGTTGAAATTCCACCTAAAGGAATACAACACCAAGACTCTCGAAGTCAATGGTACATTGTATTGTGCGTTCAAATATTATCTTAAGCATTAAAAAACTCAGCTTCAGGAAGGTCGCATTTAAAAAATGAGGTCATTAAATATGGTTTAAAAATAAACTCAAACTATGGTGCAACTCAACGACGAAATCATATAGAAACTAGTCCCATCCAAAAGATGTAAACTAGGGAAGGAAAATAACAAAAACATCAACTGAAAATAATATCTGAACTTAACATATAGTAGTCAGACATATTTATCCATACTTAGTGTGTAACACAAGTTTACATTAACATTGTAGGTATGCCTTCAATAACAAGAACTAGGTTCAGAAACTTATGTGTTTGCTCTCCACTTAAAAAAAGTGGTGATTTACACAATAAACCGACGATAGGTAGTTGTTGTCAGATTATGTATGCGTAGTGACGAACAGTGAATTATCTTTCAGAAACAAAAGCAATCACAACTGTTTATTAAACTTCACATCTGCTTAAACTTTAGACATGAAATAAATGAACATTTTCTGCAAAATTACCGCAAGATTTGGGAATTGAGTGGAATAAACAATGATAAAAATTCCAAAAAAATCGAAAATAAGGCACACAATTGATCTTAAGCAAATATTTTAGGATGTTTACCCAAACAAAACATACCTGCACCTCATGAGGGCTTATAAGCATCCCTTTAGCATTCAGATACGTGACTTGATTATCTCTTAGTGCAACTTTATAACCCCAGTTTAAAGAACCGATGTGACTTTGAACCCCCTCAACCATAGTTGACCAATTATGCGAAACTGAAATTAGAAGACATAATGCTAGCATTAATGAAAACACAACAAAGTTTAAATTGATGAAAAATTCCCATTATTAAGTTTAAATTTTTTATATGATACCTTATAAAATGTATATGTGATTTCAAACCTTAATTTTCAGAAAATCCTTAGGAAAAAGGGTCATAAGGCTCTAGCTTATCACATCCATGTAATTATTTAATACATGTCGATAATAAAATATATCATGCTCATCTATACAGTATCAGGCTATAAGAGGTACATATCAAAAATAGATAAATACCAAGTGAGTTCAGAATGTAAAGATAAAAAATAAATGAGTCATTAGTGTGCTATAGTTTGTTAGGCTATTGTCACCACAGAAAGGAACATTAACCACTAAAAGCCTTGAAGCATATCTTTTATGAACTCCGTTTATTAAAACTTTTGAACTATTATTCGCAATTGCTAGGGCTAGGCAAAATAGTAATCCCTCTGGGAAGTTACAGATGGCTAATGTGTCGCATGTGGTTTCTAATTAAGCAACAACTTCCAAAAGCAGTGCACCGAAGCTTAAGTACTAACGTGGTGTGTGCTACTGATGTCTACAGATATAAGTAGTATGTATCAACAATGGGAAGTGAAATGTCTGGGGGAAGAAGGTTAAAAAAAACCGAAGAAAAGAGAACGAGAACAGAGAATGATTAGTGTGGAAATGAAGGAACAACAAAGTCTGAGACGATTGATTGACACTTTGCAAATGTAGTATTTACTGTATGGTTCTCAGATCATACGAAGATATTCTGTAATTTTCTATTCAAATACATTTGGTTGTCTCCACTTATGTTCTCGTTCACTACACTAATATCACTTGTAGTTGATAAAAACTGTCCAGAAGAATGTAAATACGTTTAAAAACGAAGAAGCATCCGATATTATAAGACACACAGGTATAAGGTTTCAGTCAACCTATTCCTTACCTCAGTTATTTCGAAAGTCTAAATCATTTACTGAAGTACATAGTGGTCGGCAAGTAATAGACAGTTAATATTTTCACAATTTAAGACCGATGACAAATTGCATGTCTTAATGTAGTCACTAATATGCTTCATTTTAAATAATATAGTTGAAAAACTAAGGATTGTGAAACAACCTGGCAAGAACTAGTCAGTAACAATAGTTAGAGATCCCCTTATTTGACTAATAAATACAAGAACATGGCAAATGATAGAAAATACTGTTAAGTCAATCTGTTAATGAAAAACACTACACAATGGAACTATTAGCCCTAGATTAGACTACTAATTTTCTGGTTTGTTTCTTAAGATTTTAATAAACATTGTGGGTTTTCGTATCAATACATCACCGAACCAAAAGTAATCTGTGAAAGTAAGCCACTTATCTTAGTGGAGATGTTATAAACATACATTACGAAGACAGATGATGGTAAATACCGACTATAGCGAGTCTAACGAAAATTGTGTGATCATTTTACTTAGAAACAAATAAGCCATCATATTGTTAGTTTAATTTCATCTGCAGACTATCACGTTATGTGTGAAAATACAACCACGATGAATGGATGTTTAAAAAAATCAATTATTAAAAAATGGTGATGAGTTTCGTATTAAAAGGAGGTTGAACAAAACAGAAAAACAAACGTTACTTTTCGATCGATCCAAACTCCATCCGAAATGTTCTGCGTCTTCCAAAGCATGACCTAACAATCATAAAAACATCATATCATTAGAGCACATAAATATGTGTGATAAGACTGTGCAGAAAAATGTAAATTTCATATAGATGCTATCCTCATGAAAATTAAAATTCAGAGAGCCGCGACCGCTTCGTAAAACGATTTAAATCACACTGAAAGTTTAGGTTATAGCTATCCTATTTACTAAAGAATAAAGGCTAAATACCGAAACGATTAATTGAAAAACGTACTTAAGAGTCCAGCTTGGTGCATCAATTTTTTCGGGATACATCCGACGTTTACACACGTCCCACCTAATCCCCAAGTGGTACCTATTGGAGTAGGTTCTACAAAGTCCAAAACGGCTGTTTTCGCACCGTATTTAGCAGCCTCCTAAAGGATAGAAAACAAGAATAACATGTACTGGCATTTTACAACAAATCAAACTAGAAATTACACTGGCTTGCCCTGACATTGAAATTAGAGTACACGTCCTGAGAGTTGAGTAGGTGACAGCGTAAATCAATGAACGATTCAAACCCTTCATATAATTGTTGTGACCAGTGGTTGGGAACAGTTTCGCATCGGTCACAATGGAACAGATGGATCCACGCTTTGTCATTCTTTCGATTTGAAACCTTGAAGTTATTTTATACCAATTATTCCACCAATTAATTATTTTTTTTCGAATCATAATTTTTATGCTCATTCCCTTTTACGATAACTAATACTTCTAGTACTTTGGTATTTACCCTATTAATTCTATTCTCTTATGTTGATGTGATGTGGCAACTTGGACTGATGTACCTATCTGCCAAGTTCCACGGCTTTGATGATAATCAGAAATAGGACTCCCTTAGCCCCACTGAAATCGATTGGGATATTCGTAAATTCACGACAGAAACGAGTCTAAACCAGGAACGGTGTGAATACACACGAACCAAAAGGGTTATGACTTTAATCTTTCCTTAGGTGATGAATGGATGACTTTGGGATAGATATATGGTTGATTCTGATGTAGTTAGTTTCTAATGCCTCTCCAAAATAAAAATGATACGATTCACAAATCAGAGGAAACACAAATTGGAAAATGCGCACGAGCCGTGAATTGAAATAAACTACTGAGAACAATTTTCCATTGTTTGACCGATTATCTTCAGACTACAATTACGACCCTTTTGAAGAACCTCCTAAAAGCCTACAATCAATTGCACTATTTAATGTTTACTGTGAGTTATTCCCGGACAGAAAGTATTTCTTGTCATTAGGCGACATATGGCAGAAGTAAACAAGAAATACGAACCTGATTACTAAAAGCTAACCACTCAAAATGATCATCCTACTCAATATTGTGAAAATTCCCATTTTGCCACTTTAATTTAATTTGCACTTTGTCATAAACATCCTTCTAGTGTTAATGGTTCACTTGCTTTTCACCCTACAAGATATGTAGATGACGACACTGTTTGGAGATACAACACAAGTCTTTTATGCAAATAGTGTGGAACCAGATATATTTAGGATGTATTTGTCAGTCTTCTCAATTCAGTGTTATTCATATAAATGTATGCTACTTCATATTTGGCAATGGTGGTTGAAAACTAGAGTGGACAAAACTATTTCTGAACCTAGTACAAAAAACCGCACACTTCCGTCAAATGACCTTTAACAGACTTAGCGGTCATCATAAGAGCTTGTGATAAGCTATTTATAAATTACACTCGATCGGTTTGAATTAAGACGTATACAATAGAGTTAATGAAATTTATTCGCGTTAACTCTCTGAGCCTGCTTTCCAGATGGAAGAGACTCAAACGTCAGACGTTTATTCTGCTCACTTGAGCCCCCATTTATTGGTTGGCATTCGAGGTTTGATTAAAACGTGAACCATGCTTACTTGATAAATTTAGTCATCTGAGGATGCTGTAGCTATTGAATGAACAAGTACCTTTGAAATGTGTTCAATTTAATGAGAATACGTACAAAGAAAAAAGATTTGATATCTATCGTAACAGAAAGAAAGTACCTTTCCAGCAGCAAGTCCACCAGATCCTCCACCGATAACTATCAAATCATAGTCATACTTGCTTTCATTGACAATACTCGTCAATTCATTATTACGGTGGTATTTTAATACCATCTGAGAATCCCCTTGAACAACTCATCAGGGAGTTTCCTATTACTTACCGATGAATTTGCCCCTAACAAACATTTGAGGAACTGTTTCAATTTTCGAGAAGCTGGCTAAGGACTTCTGAATGGCCGAACCATTGGCTAAAAAAGGAATAAAAGAGAATTTTGACATACATAATTGATCCAGTTCAATTGTAGCATGCTTAATCTTTGCTTCAGCCAAAACATCCTTCACCTACAAAAGAAAATACATGAACAGAAATCGACCACCAACATTTTTGCAATAAGGACAAGTCGTCTTGCTAAATAATATTACGGCCGCTGAATCTATCGTTTTTCGTAGCCATTGGGATGTTCCATCAACTGGAGGCATGGTGTATGGCTGAAACAATAAAAAATTCAAATGTTAGCAAAGAAAAAAATGAGCCCACAAACTTGACTGAACAAAAAACTACTTACACAGTTTGACATGCAATTAAAACAACACCGTTTACTTAGATGTATGAAACATTTTGTGCTGTAAGTGTAAGTCCTAATTGACCAACTTCACTACAAACGTGTAACAAGAGCTATTAGCACATTTGAGCTGACATTTTAATAATGTGTCACAAATAATCATAATTAAACGTTAACATAGATATAAACTGTGTATAGTAAAAAACAAACTTGAAAAACAATAAAATGTGTAAAGGTAACTTGGTGAAAATTAGTGCTGACAATGACTAGCGATGCACTCATTGGACTAAAAATTCAAGATAAAATTTGTGCTAGATAATGAACCAGAACATTTAAAACCGTTGTCCTACCTTATGTATGCTTCGCTGCCAAAACAGTCACTCGAAGGTCGAATATATCAGGTTCCCCAATAGTGGGGCTACTGTATGCGTATGTAGGAAGTGCAGACAATTAGGTTTTCAGCAATATACTTTTTGAGTACCATAGGTATGGGGCATAGAGCGCATGTCATGACAATTAACTACACGCAAAAAGCAGCTATCAGCTAACGACATATGGTTCCAAGCTCAGAATCCTAATCGGTCTTTATATGCAGCCTTATGGAGGTAAACTACTCAGACGTCCGAAGTGGTTATCAATATTTAATGAGACTAATACAAAGAGAAGAACCTCGCTATGCTATTTGAAAGTTAAAAGCCTTACGGTTTTATTTTCATTACCAGAAGAAATGCAAATCTTTCGGCCTCTAGATAGGAATAATGAGAATTTAAGCTGACGTAAATGAAGATATTTACGACAAAATTCATTCTTTTTGTGCATGCAAAACAACATTTTACCGATTCATTTCTACGGTTCCATGTGCATAATAAAGGGAGACACACTTTGTGAAATCGACTTGCGTTTATACAGAGACTTCTAAACCAAGACATCAGACGGTATCGCTGTCAAGAGGATAATGTTTGATTTGGTACAATGCAACGAAATGCGATGCAAAAATATGAAAATTCTATAGATATAAATATCAGTAACCCGAACCATACCACAAATGCATCCAAATCACGAACTCGGCAGAATCTCCACGTATTTATACTTTGCGCTGGTAAGTAGGTCAGTCTTCAATCTTCAGTAATAAGGATAAAAGCTTTATCAACCTATAATAATCCTTGCAGTTTGTAATACTGTAGAGGTCCAATATCGTTTTGCATATATCAACAGAAGATGCTGATATTACGTGTTCCGGTAGAGAATTTCAGTAATTCACTACTCGGTGCGAGAAACGGAACTCCAGAAGTAAACGATTTGATCTCGGTTTTTGAACTTTCTTCGAATGTCCTCTTAAGTGATCAGTCCTGGACGGAAGTAAAAGATAAGACATGTTAATACCAAGGCCATCGTTCAGCATACGATAAGACAATACTAGATCACTCCGTATTATACGGTAAGATAACGGAATTAGGTTGAGGTGTCTCAATCTTCAGTCTTCAGTCTTCAGTAATAAGGATAGTAGGTTGGTGAACCTGTATTAATCCTGAAACATTGCTTTCTAGTGAAGGTCCAGCTTCTCCTTGAAAGTATTCACTGATGGGACTGATACCACTTGTTCGGGTAAGGCGTTCCAATGATTGACTACTCGATGAGAAAAACGGGACCCCACTTTAAGTTTATTAGATCGTGGTTTATGAACCTTCTTGCTATGACCTCGGAGGTTATTAGTGCTGGAGGGAGCAAAAAGATAAGACATATTAACACCCAAATCATAATTAAAGATACGAAATGCCAGTATAAGGTCACCTCGTGTCCTACGATACGACAAGGGGAAAAGATTTAGGCGTTTTAAACGCTCATCGTAAGGGAGTCTAGAAAGACCCCTCACTAATTTCGTTCCCACACGCTGGACACGCTCAAGGGAGTTAGTATCCTTTACCAGACATGGGCTAGCTGCTTGGATACAGTACTCTAAATGTGGTCTAACATATATGGGATATAAAATTCGAAACGTTTCCTCGTCAAAAGATTTGAACGCTCGGCGACGTGACCATAACGCTCGAAAACCTTCGACAGCGGCTGCGCTGCTATGCGTAGTTGTTTTTAAGTCATGACTTATTATTACTCCCAAGTCTTTATGCTCTTGAACGCATGGAAGAGGTTTACCATCAATAGTATAATGGCAACTATTACCGTGACCAATGTGCATTAGCACACTCTTCCTAGAATTTCTTTCTAAGCCCCACTCTCGAGCCCATCTAACTAAATCGTCTAAGTCAGCTTGAAGATCCAGATGATCATCCGCACTTTTTATTGTTCTCCAGATTTTTACATCATCCGCAAACAATAATTTCGACGACCTAAGCAACAGCGGTAACATTAACGTAGAGAAGGAAGAGCAGGGGGCCTAAGATGGTGTCTTGGGGTACACCACTTTTGACCGGCTTCCAATCGGATAGCGTTCCGTTGACCCTCACTCTCTGTCTGCGGTCACATAAGAAATCTCCTATCCACTCATGTACAATACTTATTATTCCGAAGCTCGTGAGCTTCTGCATAAGACCTACGTGTGAAACCTTGTCAAATGCTTTGCTAAAATCTATGAATATCACATCAACAGATAGACCGTTATCTAGGGCTGCTGTCCAATCCTTCCTCGCAATAAGCAAGTTAGTCAAGCATGAACGCTTGTTACGAAATCCGTTTTGCTCAGGAGCTAACAGATTGTGTAAATCTATGTAGCTTAGCAACCTAACCCGAATTATCTTTTCAAGTAACTTAACGAATTATCTTTTCAAGTAAGACAGGTCAGATAGACCTTGTACCATCTTAGTACCTCGTCGTTGGACTTTTCACAGCATCTCTGCTTCATACATGAAACAACGATTCTCTGCTTGAATCCCATATTCTAAATCTGGTCTCACGTAAATCGGGTATAATGATCTAAACATTTCATCATCTAAATACTGGAAAGACCTACGAATAGACTATAATACCCTATAGCCTTTCGCAGCAGCAGCCTTACAGTGACTAGTGGTTTTGAGATCACTGCTTCATATGACTCCTGAGTATTTATAGTTTCTTACTTTGGGTAGCACGAATCCACCTATTATGTAGCGATACGATTCATCATAGTTATTTATCTGCAACACTACACTCTTATTAGGATTTACTTCTAGTGACCACCTGTCCAACCATGACACCAATGAGCTAAGATCGTCCTGTAATACTACTCTATCCGACATACTATGTATGGGTCTTCAAATCTTTATGTCATCAGCGAAGAGTAGAACGGATAATTTTGCTACAGTTGGCAATTCGTTTACATAAAGTAAAAAGAGAAGAGGACCTAGGATTGAACCTTGGGGAACTCCACTTTTTACAGGCACCCACGAGGAGAGAGCCCCATTTACCCTTACCCTTTGTCTCCTGTCATGGAGAAAGTTACTTATCCAATCTACAACTGTATAATGAATTCCTAAACGTTCCAGTTTGAATTTAAGACCACAGTGGGAGACCTTATCGGGGGCCTTACTTAGATCTATGAAGATCACATCCCCAGGAATATTCTGATCTTTTACAGCAGCCCAATCTTCTCGTGCAATCAGAAGATTTGTCAATCATGTTAGGCCTCTCCGAAAACTATGTTGTTCCCTGGAGAAAAAATTATGCCCTTCAACATAGGTGTGGTCGAACGGTTGCAACTGCCCAATCACGTTGGAACCATATTCGCTTGATTTCATAATATCGCATTTGACTTCAAGGACGATTTTTTAGCAGATTATCTTGAGTTCGTGCATATGCGTTGATAGTTCGTTAGTCACTTTAATTAGCGATTGTAAGTACATGGTTAATATGAAAAACGAGCCAATTAGGTAATATTCCTCAGCTTTCTGCAACAATAAAATTCATAAATTGAGGCTCACACACTACTGCTGTGTTTTTAAAAGGTTAGATTTAGATGTTTAAGCTTCAACAAGGGGAATGAGCATGCGAAACCCTCTTGATTACGGACCTACGGTTATGGCTTATTAACCTTGATTCATAAATCCAACTCGGTGTCGTGGTATGTTTCACTACCGGTTCCAGATTTGACGATGATATGCGACACTTTTACAGGGGTATATGGATCTTCTACACTGAAAAACTAATGGAACAAAGTATTTAAACACACTGCTGTGTTAAGTGACTTCTCAAAACCAGTAGTTTTGTAGGTTTTCAACACCGATTCTGTAGGGCCAGTAAAATGTCAAATGTCAAACCATCCGTCAGTCAAGTCAATAAATATCGAACAGCTCATTGATATATGTTGGGATCAACAGCAACCAACGCGCATCAGTTAATTACACGCCATGGACTGTCACATGTAGTGGTGGTCGCATTGTTTTTCTTGTACCTGCTCCTACTACTATATTTCTGTAATAACGTCAATTGTGTGTTAGAGTCATCAGTGTAACCATAGCAGCTGGATATGACGAAAGGATAGTTCATGCTAAGTACTAACAGTCAGGCATAACTTCGACGCTAGCTGACTGGTCACTGAGTAGAGTTGACCTCAAACAACTAAGTATATGTCAAAACAATAGAGTTCAAATATTCATTCACTTCCTTATTTTGTATAGGCATTATATTTCCTGTTATCTTATATTGAATGTTGAGAGGTTTTGTTTGTCTGAACGTGTAATCCCACGCTCCAATGTGACTGCGCGAAGATCTAAATAAAGACCTACTCACTAACAGTCTAGTTTCTTCTATCAATAGCACGAGGGTTACCTATAGACACGCAACTGGTGAGTCTGACGTACCTATAGGCACGAGAAATTGAGACTTTATGTAGTCGAGGAATTAGCTGTAAGGAACTTAGACGAATTAGTAACAGCAAGCTCAAGGCAATGACCACATTTAAAGGGTTTGCTAATATCTATCTTAAATAACGAAGTTTAACTTTTAATTAGTTACGAATTGCCGTCAGCATGTTTGATGCTAGGTCAGCTGTTAGGTGGTGGAAAACAAACATACACTGTTAAGAGGTCTTTTCGGTGGGTGTCGTTGAAGCCAACAGAATCTCTTAAACGTTATGTTTGCAAAGCGAACTGTATAGTTCAGATTTAAATGGCTAGTGATCGACTTTAATGTGTGTATGATCATGAATTGGCCAATGCGTATTTGGACGACATACTGGTATTGGCTGAGGACGAGAGGCTTATGGTGATGTTATAAAAGGGAAGTTATTTCTCAAATAGGCGCTTTGTGGTTCAGCTCCCTAAGGTTAATGTTATATACAGGGGCATTGGGAACTACTGAATAGCTAGAAACCGGTTGGAGGCTTTTAGGCATAGGTTAGCTCAGCACCGTTGTTTACAAGCGAGATAAACTAGTTGTTGGGGACTTTATTGACAAACCAAATACTGAAGCAGATTATGAGGCACAAAGCCGATCATGGTATCTTCCACAGTTGTACTTATTGCAGAACACAACCTCAGAATCAATGAACATTCTACTGGGCCTACTCAGGGTACTCGTGGCCATTGTAGCAAGTGCAGAGAAAGCGGTTATCCATTTAAAACTGTCAGAATCCAATTAGCGAGTTCTAGAATTTTTATGATGGCAAGATAGATTTCTCCCAAGAGGTTTTGTTGTCCCAAACAACTTTTCATCCGTCTGAAGAGACGCCATCACTTTGTCCAATGTCTTCATTAGCACGGTGGCTGAGCAGTTTGTTAATGAATACGACGAGCTTAAAATGACCCAGTATCTAAACTCAAATGTATTTGACGACAAATATTCATAATTTGAGTGTAGTTGAACGACAAACTATCATTCTTTGGATGTACTATTCACCGAAATTGACACAAGAAAACTGGACACTGAAGTTTATCAGAAGTCAGATTAGACACATTAGATTCCCAATTTCAGTAGCATCATAAGTACAAGAACTCACAAAATCGACTGCTTACGAACTTGTACATAAGTGCGAAAATACACTGGAGCGCAATGGAGGTTCGGAATAATGAGGAAAATTATCTAATGACTATAATACAAAAGAACGGCTACCCAAGTAACTTCACCAAAAATAACCGACTGAACTCATTCGCAGAAACGAAATCAAACAG